TATATATGTATGTGTGTGTGTGTGTGTGTGTGTGTGTGTGTTTTAAATCCTTCCCACATTCTTGCAATATTCTAAACAATGTTTCTAAACTCTAAACATTTTAAAAGAGCACAGAATGTCATGATTTCAGCTCTTTGCCACCGGCTGCACTCTGGCGCCTGCTCTTGGCCACGCCCACTTTTCTGCTGCAGAGCAGAGATATGACACGATGCAGGAAGAAGCTTCTCCTGCAGCTTGGGCTGCACACATGTGCGAAATAATTTAAAGCAATTCATTTTAAAATAAAAATTCCATGCCGATCGTGCGGCTCATCCATCAATCAGCCAATAATGTGTCATGTCCTATCTTATTTTGAAAAACTGCGATAGAGCGAGTCCGCAAAGAACAAACCGCGAACCAGCGAGGGACTGCTGTATATATTTTTACCACCTTGGCTTTAATCTTCTAAGTGTGTTGCTTGATTTTATTTTATTTTTCATATATTTAGAGGTAATTTTGAACCCATCTATAGTCAGCAGGAATATCAAGCATGCCTACAGTAATATGTAAATGTCAGCTTTCAGATTAAAACAAAACTCGTAGCCTGGTTCTGACAGCCCACCCATAAATAGACAAATTAAAACCTATTTTTGTCCTTGTATTTGTTATGAGAAAAACACGCAATGTGAATTTTGATTTTTATTCAAGTATTTATCAATACGGTGGTGATAATTTATTTTAAGTTGTTTTGGTTAAGAGATAACGAGCTGGTTGAAGATGGTCTCAGGGCCGCTGCAGGCTGCATTTTGCATCAGTGGGTCTCCTCACACAGATTGATGTGTTTAATGCATTTACATGCAGCCACAGATCCTTGAAGTGAGCACCAATCAATCTTTCTGCTTTAGGCCACTAGAAATGATCTTAAATCACTAGAGAGACAGTTAAAATATTACGTTAGTGCAGGCTTAGATCTTTTGTTGTAAGTCCACGAAAGAACAAAAACAGTCAGCTGAGATCACCTTTTTAACTCTAAATTAAAATCATAACCCAATCAGTTATATTGTTGCAGTTTTTTTTTTTAACCATTCATGACCATTACGATCATCCATCCATTATCTTTTACCCGCTTCTTCCATTTTGGGTCACGGGGGTCGCCGGTGCCCATGTCCAGCAATCACAGTGCGAGGGGCGGGGGACACCCAGGACGGGTCTCCAGTCCATCACAGGGACACATAGAGACAAACGAGACGAACAACCATTCACTCTCTCACTCACACCTAGGGACAATTTAGAGTTACAAATCAGTCTAACATGCATTTTTTGGTCTGTGGGAGGAAACGAGTGCCCGGAGAAAACCCATGCATACATGGAGAGAACATGCAAACTCCACCCAGAAAGACTACTTCGATCATCTTTTATTAAATAAGCATCACCTGATCTGAAGGCATCTTGTAGGTGTATAAAATCAGTTTCGTTGTGGTCCAGGGCATGTTGCGATACCGATCGGACCTGCTGAACACTTTGGGAACGCTGCTGTTCCTCCCGGCCTTTCTGAGTGGAGCAGCTGAGCAGAAACAAGTCCTGGAGGTGGAGCTCTTCTCAGAATACGTAGACGACCCTGTGAGTCAGAGGACAACATCAGTTTTACCTCAACGTTCAGGCGGGTGGAGAATTCAAGCCAACGTCACTTTTTGTTTCTCCCTCAGTATTCTCCCTCGGTTGCAGTTTTCATTGAGATCATCTCCAGCAAGGTCCAGATCTATTCTTCTCACCTCTATGTCCACGCTCATTTTACTGGTATAAGGTGAGCACCAAACATTCATGCATGCAGCAGACCAGCATTTTGACGTGTGCCTGTGCAGTTCAAATCATGCAACTGTAGCATCAAGTTATGTCTGGTTTGGGTTATTCACATAAGATCAGGCCCTCAGAAAGCAGGAGAAAGACCCTGATCAGGAAGTTAATTACTATTACTAATAGGAAGTTGCAGAGCTTGGTTAAAAAACAACAAACAAATGAAAACCTGTTCCAACGAAGCACAAAGATACGAGGTCTTAATTAAGATTTTTTTTTTTTGTCTGTGCAAAACATCAGTTACTTCGTAAATCCTACTTACAGTTGAACAGTAGATTCTGTACATAACTAAAAATGTTGCCTTGCTGACTAAAAACAAATATCCATCCATCCATTTTCTCCCATTTTTCTGTGGTTGGGCAATAGAGGTAACTGGACCACAAGGGAAAATCCAGAAGTTCTTCCTCCTCCTCTGTTTAAAGCTGTTTTTTTCTCATTTGACACATGGCTTCCTTCACGCCGCTCTCAAAGCATCTGATCATCAATCAATCAATCAACCTTTATTTATACAGGTAAATCCCATTGAGCCTCGAGGACTCATTTACAAGAGAGACCTGATTCCAACAAAGAAAGATGACAACAATGGACAACAGCAACAACAATAAACAGTTATAAAAAAGCATACTAGTTTTTTTTTTTTTTTGTTAGTTTTTTTTAACAAATAGGATGGCTAAAAGGAAAAGGTAACAAAACAAAAAACAGCTAGATTCCAAGACAAATGTAGAAAACTAAAAACAGGAACATGTCTGCATTGGACCCTGCCAGGTGTCCAACAGATTCTTAAAGACACTTTGAGAGGTCAAGGTCGAGAGCTTCAAATCTTTTTGTAAGATATTCCAGGAAACAGGAGCGGAGTAGGAGAAGGCCCTTTTGCCTAGTTCAGTCCTCATTGAGGGAACACTGCAGGTAATAATGTCCTGAGAGCGCACTCCGTAGCTGCACTCACGCAGAGACATGTAGGTCAGATACGCTGCCGGTGTATCTGAAAACTTCAGAAGGATTTTCTCCAAACACAACATCCCGATGCATTAAACCCAACAGGACCCTCAGACACAGGCTAGCCCCATTCCAGGGACAGAACTGGAGTTGCATTCAGGCCTAATAAATCTGGATCAGACCAGACCGAGCCCGTAGTTTTATTTTTTTCACGAGCCCTACCCGGACCCAACGGATTACCGGTAATTAGAGGACTGAACCCCAAAAAAGCCCAACTTTTTTTACATTAAGCTTTTACTGCTTTTGTAAGCAAATCAGTTTGACATGATAGTTTTAAAAACGAAATGAAAGGAAGATATTCATTATTTTTATTAACAAGTCACCAAATGGATATTAACGTTCAAAACAAATAGCCTAAAAAAAATCAACTGTAAAGATAGGTTATTATACAGATGAACAAAAATATTTTTAGAGCAAAATTATTTGGAAAAATATAGAACAAGGCTATTTTAATTGAGCGCGCTGCTCACTTTGGCTTTTGTAGATTCTGCTACTTTCTTCACTGCAGATGACGGAAGGTGCGAAGATGCGTGCAGCCGGCGCTCAGCTGATTCATCCATCCATTATCTTTACCCGCTTCTTCCTTTTTGGGTAGCGCTGGTCGCTGCTGCCCATGTCCAACTGTCACTGTTGAAAGGTGGGGTACACTCTGGACAGATCGCAAGTCCATTTCAACCAGCGAGTCAGCAGACATGCGCGGCTGGTGACAGGCGTCCATCTGAGCTTAATGTGACTTTTTTAAACCTCTTTCAACCGGCCGGTCGGACCTGCTTCCTCCTCAACAAGTAGATTATATTGTGCTTTTCTTTGTGCTGTATGATTCGTAAAATTGCATCAAAGCCCAAGACCAGCCCGGCCCACACATTAATCACATTATAGTGGACCAGCCCGGCCCTTATCCGGGTCGGGTTCGGGTTAGAAATGACGACTCTAGACAGAACCCACAAACCCAAACTGAGCGGTGTGGTGTCTGCAGTTCAGTGCCGTGAGGAATGTTCAGACCTTTTATATTGAAGAAACTCGACAACCTCTCCACAGACGCAGGGCTCAACACTGGAGAACTAGCTCTTCAGGACAAGACTCAGCAGTTATCTCAAGGATGAGGGATGCTCTTTGAAGGACCAAAATGTCCATATTTTAGTCAGAGACAACAGATGGTTTGAGAGGGGAGTGAAGGAAGCCATTTACGTGAAATGAGAAAAAAAAAACTTTAAACAGAGGAGGTCTCAGGTTTCAACTTTGAAAAACTTACAATGCAGCTTTAGACCTGATTCTCAGCTCCACTCCAGTTCACACCTTCATGCAGGTGACCAAAACACGTCTCAGTGAGCCCGGCAGACAAAGAGCCTAACAAGCTTCCATTGTGTGGGGCAAGTGGTTCCAGTCTAATCTGCAGGTGAATCAAAGTACACAACCAGGCCTCTCATGTACAGTAGTTCTATATAGCTGTGAGCTCCACATACTCCAGACAGTTTAGAATCGATGAAGCCTCCCGGATGGGAAGCAACACATCTTCAGCTTCAGAATAAAGTCCAGTTGTTTTTGTTCGTTAACTCTGTTTCAGATGTCAGAAATATGGTACCAACGCATGTTTGTTCTCCTTCCTCTCATCAGATATCTGCTCTTCTACTTCCCCATCCTCTCAGCCTTTGTGGGCGTGTTCAGTAACTTCATCTTCCTCAGCTTCCTCTTCATCCTGAGCTACACAAGGCAATTGATGCAGGCAGGGCAGAAACCAGAGCAGGTGAGAGGAGACACACATTATTCACTAATGAATAAAAAAAAGCTGTGTTAAGCTGCAGGGATGTTCAGTTAAGGTTTGTCAGCTGAGCACCTCCCAGGTTTCAGAAATCATGTTGATCATGATTCACAGGTCACAGCAAACAGATTTCAGCTTGAGACGGTGGGAAACACAAACAACCAGTCCAAGGATGAAGAGGACACAGGTAGAAGCAAACATACAGTGGTGCTTGAACGTTTGTGAATCCTTTAGAATTGTCTACATTTCTGCATAAATATGACCTAAAACATCAGATTTTCATACAAGTCCTAAAAGTAGATAAAGAGAACCAAGTTAAACAAACGAGACAAAAAGATTCCCGTATTTTCGCTGTTTTAAGTCACACCTTTTTGCATAAATTAGCATGCCCTGTGACTTACACAGTGGGCAGCACGGTGGCGCAACTGGTAGAGCTGCTGCCTCTCAGCGAACAGGTCCCTGGTTCAAACCCCGGTCCAGGTGCCTTCTGGGTGGAGTTTGCATGTTCTCTCCGTGCACGCGTGGGTTTTCTCTGGGCACTCCGGTTTCTTCCCACAGACCAAAAACATGCATGTTAGGCTGATTGGTAACTAAATTGTCCCTAGGTGTGAGTGAGAGAGTGAATGGTTGTTTGTCTCTATGTGGCCCTGTGATGGACTTGCGACCTGTCCAGGGTGTACCCCGCCCCTCGCACAGTGATTGCTGGACATGGGCACCAGCGACCGCCGTGACCCAAAATGGAATAAACGGGTAAAGATAATGGATGGATGGATGTGACTTACACAGCGAAGCGACATGTTTTTTCCCATATTTAAAACCAAAGTTTTGGCTGAGATCTGATGATTTCATTCATTCTGGCATGGAAAATATTGAACACTACCATTTTCAGCCACTAGAGGGCCCTCTAGCATTTTGGCAAGCCAAGTGTCTCATTAATAGGTAAAATTGGCTATTAATGTGACATTTGGCTTGCCATACAAAGCCACCTTCGTCTCGCTCTGGAACTCCTGGAGCAAACGTCAAATCAGCTGCATTTTGCCACCCAGCCCAGTCGAAATGCAGCTGATTTGACCAATAAAGTGCATTTATTAAGGAAAAGTTCATTTGAGACACACCTTCACACCTTTACTATAAAGTCAAGCAAACAAATAATTGTTTTTAAGTGTTAATCTTGTTAAATTCTTATTAAAGTCCTCTCGTGCACACTTCTGCAGCCGCCATTTGGCAGCCAATCGATTTTTAGCACAACACCAGCCCACATTTTTGGGTTGTCATCGGTGACGCATAACAAACGCGACGTGTCAGCGGTGGCGCATAATAGATGCGACTTATACGATGGCAAGTACGGTATACTTGGCCATTTACTTATGGAGAAAAATGATGCAATGTATTACATATTTGTGAGTTTTAGGCAATATTTATGAAGAAATATAGAAAATTCTAAAAGGTTCACAAACTTCCAAGCACCACTGTTGAGTTTTTAAACTCAACACCCTAAAACTGAAGTTTCCATCCGTCACTTAGAACTGAAAACGTTTTACCTGTGATTTATTATTTTTTCAGAGCCTGCAGGGCTGCTGGGTTCACTCCAGACAGCAAACGTAGATCTAAGGGGAGAAGAGCCCCGTCTGCTACTTTGCAAAACCACGGAGTTGCAGAATGGAAAGATCCCCGAAGCTGGAAACGAAGGAATAGAGAGAAAGTTCAGAAAGAGATCTGTCAGTCCTGGAAGGATCAAGAATTGACATTACACTTCAAGTTATTTTAAACCATTATGTGTTGTTTATTTTCTGAATCAGCCACTCTATGAAATGTTTCATCCTCAGTCGTTTTAATCTGCACATTATGCACTTCATCTGTAAATGAGCAGCTTCTGCACATAGAGAACAAGAAAGTTCCTGGAGAAACTTTGACGGGGGCTGCCAGGCTGGTGCCGATTTAAATTCTTGATTTGATAGTAAAATGTGTTTGGGTTTGCTATCAGCTACAATTATACCAAATTTCAGCTGAATAGCTCTAAAAATGGCTGAGTTGTGGTGTTTTTTTCTCGTTTAGCTAAGGTGGCCATCATGGATTCTGTTTATGATGGAGCATGTTCTCAGCTGGGCAGCACGGTGGCGCAACTGGTAGAGCTGCTGCCTCTCAGCGAGCAGGTCCTTGATTCAAACCCTGGTCCAGGGGCCTTTCTGGGTGGAGTTTGCATGTTCTCTCCATGCATGCGTGGGTTTTCTCCGGGTGCTCCGGTTTCCTCTCACAGACCAAAAACATGCATGTTAGGCTGATTGGTGACTAAATTGTCCCTAGGTGTGAGTGAGAGAGTGAATGGTTGTTTGTCTCGTTTGTCTCTATGTGGCCCTGTGATGGACTTGCGACCTGTCCAGGGTGTACCCCGCCCCTCGCACAGTGATTGCTGGACATGGGCACCAGCGACCCCCGTGACCCAAAATGGAATAAACGGGTAAAGAAAATGGATGGATGGATGTTCTCAGCTACAACCTCATCAAATTTCAGCTCTCTATGTGTAAAAATGGCTGAGTTAAAGCAATTTGAAAGTAGCTTTGGTGGCCATCTTGGATTTTGTATTTTTATATAGCAATTGATAGGAAACATTCTCAGCTATCCCCACACCAAGTTTCAGCTCAATATCGCTAAAATTGACCGATTTTATAGTATTTTTCCATTTTTGCATTGTCGGCCATCTTGGATTTTTGATTTGCATTCCGTATATGATAGAGCATGTTCTCAGCTACAACCTCACCAAATTTCAGCTCTCTATGTATAAAAATGGCTGAGTTAAATCAATTTGAATGTAGCTTTGGTGGCCATCTTGGATTTTTTATTTTTATATAGCAATTGATAGGAAACATTCTCAGCTATCCCCACACCAAGTTTCAGCTCAATATCACTAAAATTGACCAATTTTATAGTATTTTTTCATTTTTGCATTGTCGGCCATCTTGGATTTTTGATTTGCATTCCGTATATGATAGAGCATGTTCTCAGCTACAACCTCACCAAATTTCAACTCTCTATGTATAAAAATGGCTGAGCTAAAGCAATTTGAATGTAGCTTTGGTGGCCATCTTGGATTTTGTATTTTTATATAGCAATAGGCTAGGTAAAAATACCTGGATAATGTTACAGAGACTGTGAGTGTATTCTTTAGATTTAAGTAAAACTAATATGCATGAATTACCAAATTAACACTGGGTTAAAAGTAACACATAACAACCATAAAAGAAGAACAATGCATGCAGCAAATAACCAAATGGGGACAAGCAAGGCCAAACTCACGTGTTAATATTCATCAAATAGCCAATTCCATTTTATTTTTATTTAAGAATTAATTACCACCTTAGCTAAATCCCCATTAACATTAGGAACGTCGGGTTACTGAACCAACAATCTTAAAACTGTCATCTGAACAATCCTATCTTCATCCTACACTTAAACTGTGAGGTTTTTCATTTTTCTTCATGGACCTGTGACACAGAGCCCTGACAACGACTTCACCTGTGTCCTGATTTTTGCTAGAAACTGAGAAGAGCAGAATGTTAGTAGAATGATCACAAAATATGAGCCTTTTGTTTAAGTGTGGAAAACCTGTTTCTATAACGTGAGTATACACAAAAATGGTCGTGTTGCTAATAGCCTAACGTTAGCTGCAAACAGTTAGCAACATCACAACGATCAAACTAACGTTACTTACCCTCGTAGTTGTGCAGGTAACTTGAGATATACAATTTAAATCCCTTGTTACGTTTGCTTGTCGGAGCAGGGGACCAGCCATCAACAATACGATGAACATCGCTGATATTTATCTTGGGCAGCTCTTGTAAACATCTAGAAAACGCCATTTTCACCGAGACCGGGGATTAGACCGGAAACTGGAATGCCGACATCCGGTCAAAGGGGAAGTGATTCAGGACGCATGTGCACAGAGCCTATAGATAGGAAACATTCTCAGCTATCCCCACACCAAGTTTCAGCTCAATATCACTAAAATTGACCGATGTTATAGTATTTTTCCATTTTTGCATTGTCGGCCATCTTGGATTTTTATTTGGATTCCGTATATGATAGAGCATGTTCTCAGCTACAACCTCACCAAAGTTCAGCTCTCTATGTATACAAATGGCTGAGTTAAAGCAATTTGAATGTAGCTTTGGCGGCCATATTGGATTTTTTATTTTTATATAGCAATTGATAGGAAACATTCTCAGCTATCCCCACACCAAGTTTCAGCTCAATATCACTAAAATTGACCGATTTATAGCATTTTTCCATTTTTGCATTGTCAGCCATCTTGGATTTTTGATTTCCAAAAGCTACTTCACCTAACTTGCATGTTGAATCAAAATGGCCGCTACACCTAATTTGCATGTTGAATCAAAATGGCCGCCACACCTAACTTGCATGTTGTATCAAAATGGCCACTTCACCTAACATGGATGATGAATCAAAATGTCCACTTTACCTAACTTGCATGTTGAAACAATATGGCTGCTTCACCTAACTTACATGTTGAAACAAAATGGCCACTTCACCTAATTTGCATGTTGAATCAAAATGGCCACTTCACCTAACTTGCAAGTATAACCAAAATGGCTTCGCAAGGCATAGATCTGCCTTAAATGCTGAACCAAAATGGCTCACAGCGTTATTCATTTTGCTGTATTTTATGTATGCTGAGGTAGCTATGGCAGCCATCTTGAATCAAAATGGCTCCAAATGTTAATCAGCTCTCGAGATACGTCTGATGATTACTTTCTGTGAGTTTTAAAAAATCCAACAACGAGTTTCTGTTTTGTAGTTCAATAACTCAGAATGATCGAGTTAGTCAATTTTGTGTTTGCTGAGGAAGCTATGGCAGCCATCTTGAATCAAAATGGCCGCTTCACCTAACTTGCATGTTGAATCAAAATGGCTGCTTAACCTACTTTGCATGTTTAACTAAAACGGCTTTGCAAGGTAATGCTCTGCCTTGCTTGTTGAACCAAAATGGCTCCCAGCATTCTTCAGTCTCTTTGAAAAGTTTTCTCCCATTCATTTCCTATGGGAAATTTGTCATCTTCGTTAGCAAAATATGTCACCATGGTAACTCCGAATGCCAATAAAAGTAATAGCACACTTCTCGTTGCCGGGCCGGTCATTTTGATATAACTTTTGTGGGGGTTCACGTTGCAGTTTGGGCCGCATTAACGGAGACGGAAGAATAATAAATAAATAAAGAAACCCTTATTGGGTGTAGAATAATAGGTGGCTTCCATGCATTTGCATGGGAAGCTTTCCTATGCAATGCAATGACAGCCCCCAATAATAATGTTTTTTTTTAAATATAGAAAATAACAGTCTATTTTTAAAATTTACTGCTTAAAAAACAATAACATAAACAGTGTAGTTCTAATTAAACAGTATCAAGGTCCCAAATCTTTAGAACGTGGGGGCGGGGCTTAGTTAAAGCAGAAGTCCGAGTAAGTGATGATGTCACTTTGAGCTTTTTTTTCTTTGAGGTTTGTATTACTGTAATGGTACAGAATGTCTGACATCAGTGATGATGTCACAAAGTTGTATACAGAAAGTCTGA